ACAAACCACCTAACAGGGTAGAGACTATTAAACCCATTTTATAGATGAGGAAACTGAGGCACAAGAATGGAATGAAGAGCCTGAATCTGTGTGCAGCCCAGACTCTGCACATGACCTAAGCGGTGCTCCTAGTGCCTTCAGAATTCAAGTCCTGTGCTAGAAGAATGTCTGCAACATGGCCCCAAACATTTGCTGACCAGAAATGTGAATGTTGGCTGCTCTTCCTCCCATCAGCTGAGTGAGCTCACAGGTGTGAGAAAGGGCAGACCTGCTGGTACCCATCAATAAAGGCTGAGACTGTCTTACTCCTTCTCCAATCTCTCAGAACCCTGTGACAAAGATGCCCCAGGCTAGTCCCTCGGGGCAGCTGTCTTCAAGGACACAGAAGAGCAGGACAGAACCCCATTTACTCCTCGAAGCCACTACCTTTTGAGCACAGGGAGCAAAAACGACACAGCAGGAACATATTCCATTTCCAGAGAAAATGTTAAACCATCAGGCCAGCACACTGTAGGAAAAACCTAATTGTGTCTGGCCCGTATCTAATTATTTGCCCATGTTGGGATATTTTGCAGGCACCTGAGTGGCTAGGCTGCTTGTTTCAATATTTCTACCACAAACACAAATCTGGAAGGTGTCCAAGTTTCTGTTCTAATGACACCCTCTGCTTTTGAGGATCTGCCAGCCTCACTTCCCTCAGAAACCTAAAAGGCCTGAACCAGGATGACTTCAAGAAATGTAAAATAGGTGTCAGGGAGCACTTGCTCCAGTCAGGAGGCACCCCCCCACACACACTCCTGCTCAGGAACCTTTTAAGCTTAGAGTGAGGCTCAAGATGTGACATTCAAAGACAGCTACACCAGCACAGAGCTCTCCTCTCTGCCTAATTGCATCAAACAGGAGCCAAGCCCAACCAACCTACAGGCTGCCCTCAAGGTCCGCTGAAGGAGACTCGGAGGGCAGCTGTTGACCCCATCCCCTCCCTGCACAGATGAGGAGACAGGTAAAGCCAGCAGCCTAGGGAAACCAAGCTGGAGTCCAAGGCAACCAGGGGTTCCTGGCCTCATGCTTTTTAAGGTACAAAGTGCAGAGGTCATGTCCCCATTGCCAAGAAATATATGCACATCAAGATTTTTTTGTGCAGTTTCAGACAATTCAGGGAAATCCCTCCATCTGTGGTTATGAGCTCGAGAACTAAAGAATGCCAATGTTTACTGAGTGCTTACTGTATACCAGGCACTGTTCCAAGCACCTGGCAGGGACTCTTTTACAGGACACCGAGTCTCTCCAAGCCCCCACTGCACTTTGCTGAGGCCCCTGCAAATTGCCTGATAGCAGCATTATGTAATTCTGACTTGCACAAATTCTGCCTCGCCCACTAATCTGAGAGCTGTGCAGCTCTGCCCCCGTGCACCTGGCCCTGGGCTGCACCTAAAGGGAACACATAAATGCTGCAGTTAGATGCTCCAGATGACACAGATGGGCTCCCATTTCCTCCACATCTCTACAAATTCTCTAAAGATTCAAAACCGCTTCCCACTTGAACCCCTCCTCCCAATTTAACTACTTGGTGATTCAGTCTGCTTTCTCCTTCTTATTCTGCCTCCCACCCCCCTCAATTTCCCTCCTTCTTCCACTGTCAGTCCTTGATCCTTCCTCCTGAACATCTGGGTGGCCAAAAATTATGCAGCGTGTGAATTCCAGCAGCCCCCCAGCCCTCTGCAGGAGGCAAGGGGACACACCTGTAGGACCTGCCTAGCACACGGCAGGCTGTGATCCTGTAGCGCCACAGCTGACAGCTATTACAATCAACTGCCTTCCTCCTTGACGCTTACATTTTTGAAAAATTCTGTTTGGGTCTGATTAACACAAAACCTTTGCTTTTCTTTCTGGATATTTAGACTGGACATACTTAATAGGTTATCGCCACCTTTATGGCTCACCTCATGCTGTAAACACAGGTCTACACATAGGGCATTTATTTTAAAGGAGAGGCAGTCTCAGTAAACAAACCAGACCCTAAAACTTGAGAACAATAAAGAAATACATTGTGCAAGTCAAAACAGTCTCCCATACTTAGCCAACTAAATGCAAACAACATCTCTTTATTCCCAGCCAGGGAACAAAGTTACCCTTTGAAGTAACTTAATATCGTACCTGAGCTCCCAATTTATAGACCAGAAGAGAAGGCAGCTTGCACTATACTCACGAGTGACTAAAGAATCACTTCTAAATCACACCTCGCCAAAGACAAGCATGCTTGCTCAGAGGTGTGACACTCCCAAGCCAGCAACGACTTTTAAAAATAGTTTTGATTTAGAATTTAAAACAACTCTTCTCTTATGCAAATGGGCTTCAAAGGGCATCTCTGCAATCCTGGGTTTGTTGAGGCCCTAGGGAGGTGGACCTGGTGTGGACAAGAAAAGCAAAAGCATCAACTCCAGGAAGTGTTCACTCATCTAGGAGTTTGTAAGAGGTCCCAGCCAGCACAGTGGTCTTGAAGGAGCCAGCCCAAGAGCAGGAGCTCGGAGACCAGGGCTGACTTTCCACTGACCAGCTGTGGGCCTTAGGTATACTATTCTACTGCCCTAAAGCCTCCACATCTGGAAAAAGAGGTTACTCTCCCTTCCCCACAACCTGCTCCTTTCTTGCTCCCTTGCTTTGCCTTACTGTCCTTCCTAGGTCTGACTGCACTTCAGGGATCATTTGCCTATGTGACACTGGCGTTTTTATCTGCCCCCTCCTATGAGACCAGGGACCCTGGTATCCTCCCAGAGGCTCACCTGTGGGACCCAGTTGGTGAATAAAGTTATATAGGAAGTTTTATGCAGAATCTCGCTGCTCACACATGGGGCTCATGTATGGCTACCGAACCGAAATGTGACGCACAGACACATGGAAAAGCCTCAGCAGGCCCCATCCTTGGGTATGACAGGAAGTCATCAATTCTTAGTACCTGTTGTGTATCACATCTCTCCACCAGTGTGACAGCCTCCATGCCGTATAAACACAGGGCCACATGTCAAGTGTCAGACTACCCCTCTAACTCTACTTCTTGAATTCAAGCCCACACTTCAATATCCAGGCTTGAAATTTGTCTTGAAATTAACAAGATCTGTCAACTCTGCTTTTCCCTGTCTGGCTGGAACTGAGTGGAGGCTGACCCCTGTGGGTGGGTGTGTGCTCACCTTTTCAAGACAACCCCCATCTCCCTCCTCACCTGCACCTTCCCTTCCAGCACTATCTACAGCTGCTCCTTCTATAGGTTCCTGGGGTTCAGCTATTGAACTCAGGGTTATTCTTCTCAAGTCTCCAAATAAGCAGAGTACACTTGTCACCTGCCCCAACCTTTCCTACAAGCCTGACTTCTTCCTGTTAAAGAGACTAATCTCTTTTTCAGACAGGTGCCTCTTCTGACACCTCACCCTTGTTGGTTGCTGGCCAGGGCCAGCAGCGACAGCCGGGAGGTGGCAAGAAAAAAATTTTCCTCCCAATCTTTCATTGGTTGAGGAGAGAAAAAACTTGTTTGAAAAAAAAAAACTAATTAAAAAGCATTTTTATTCCTATGCTATTTTGAACAAAACTATATGATCTGTGTGTCTTCACTATCAATTCTGGTCAAACGCACGATTTGTAAAATTAGTAAGAGTCACATTGGGGAAAGAAGAGTCTTGATTTTGAAAAGTTGCAAGTGGTACGGGTGGCAGGAAAACTCTGGATGGAAAATGGTAAGAGAGGGTCCAAGAGAAACTTTGGGCAAATCTCTAGGCCTGTTTCCTCCTGGGCAAACTCAGAGAGAGCAGATGCTCTGAGACAGCCTTTTTAGCTGGCTGGCTACCTTAATCCACAGAACCATCCCACCAGGCAGGAATCGCAACTGATAAAAGAGGCCAGGGTGTGTGTGTGGGGGGGGGGGTGTTCTTCGAGACCCTGTGTCAACCTCACTGAATGGCCACGTGTTTTCCAGAGACTTACCAGAGCCATAACTTCATTCTTGAAAACTGTACCATTAACTTAGCCAATGTGGACGTGGCGAAGAAGCCAAGCTGTCCCAAGGAATTCGCGCTCTCCAGGAGACCCGGGAAGAGGGGCTCCCCATTTGGACGCCAGCAGTGGGCAACCGAACCCCTTGGGCGACTACACCCGCCGCCTCCAGCCGCGCCGGCTGCCCGGGGACGCAGGACAGATAGGCAATGTGGGCACCAGGACAGCGATGGGGCAGTGGAGCAGCGGTGCCCAGGACCTAGGCGGCTCGGAATCCTAAACAAGCACACGCGCGCGCACGCCGGCCAATCGGTTCGCCCCGAGCAGTCTGAAGGCGCCTGCACCGCTCTCCATTCATTCCCCGAAAGGCCAGGCTCCCTTCGCCCCGGCGCCTCCATCCGCGATCCCACGCGGCCTTCGCACCACGACCCACCACCACCCACCCATAGCCACCACGTCCTCTCTATCCGCACACACAGCCCAGCGGACTCGCACTCCATCACGATCGCCAGGGCCGCTGCTTTTCCCAAAGCCTTGTCGCCCGCGGGGACCGCTGCCTTCCCGGCTCCCCAAAGCCTTCCCGGCCGCTGCCCCACCGCGCGGATCAGACCTGCCTCCCTCGGCTCGCCGCGCCGGGGCTGGCGGGGACGTCGCGGAGAAACGCTGGCAACTCCCAAGTCACCCCCCTTCCTAGTCGCGGCGCGGCGCTGGGAGGAGACAGAAGGAAAGACGGGGACCAGGGGACAGCGGGCAGGGAGGAAAACGCGGGGAGCAAAAGTTCAGGCCGCTCGGAGCTCAGCTGCGCTCTCCAACCTGGCTCATTCCCGCGGTTCTCTCTCCCGAACCCGGGTCCCACGGGCATCGGCTCCTGAGGCCATCACCACCCCTCTGTCCGCCCCACCACCACCCCACTCCGCGCCCGCCTTTCCGCCCGGAGCGACTGCGGGGCTAGAACTGGGGTGCTGGAGGCAGCTCCGCGCCAGTGCCCAAGCAGAGAGTGGCGGATGCCCACCTACCTTTCCCGGGCCGCGCCTGGAAACTTCCCCGAAGTGTGCGGGGAGAGGGTGTGTGGAGAGCACGGCTAGGGGACCTCGCGTCCCCCACGCTACACCAGGAGCATTCACACTGTGAAAGCACTGTTCTGTCTGTCCGTCTGTCTTCCGCCTGCAGCTCTCAGAGCTGGGCGGCGCAGGGTCGCCCGGATTCGGACTCCTGGGGTGTCTCTACGGGACAGCTGGCTGGTGCGTATCCCACGTTGTGCGTCCCCTGCCGGCCTCCAGCTGTCCACAGCGCCACCACGCCACCGCCCGGTCCCCAGTCTACGAGCTCCGGCCACATTCTCCCGGGCTAGGGAGGGGGCGTGTGAGCCCGGCGCCGCCACCCGACAGCCCTTCCCGCAGGGTCCCCAAGCGCGCGTGGCGCTCGGAGCAGCGGCGAGGGGACGCCTCCCACTGAAGATCGCGAAAGGCTAGAAGAGGCCGGGCGGAGGAGCGCGGGGCCCAAACGTGCCTGGCTCCGCGCGCTCGCAAGTTCATTGTCTGCCTGGGCCGCCGCCGCCGCCTCCGCGCCGCGGGGAGTGAGGCTGCGCGCAGCCTCCACAGCCCGGACTCCGAATGCCCAGCCGGAGCCGCCATCCGCTCTGCCCGACCGGAACCCGCAGAAGGGCGCCGGAAAGCCGAGCCCGAAGCCAGACCCCAACCCGCCGTTTCTTGTCGCCCCTACCCGGCACCTGGCACCCAACTTGTACCTGAAAAGCCCGAGAGCAGCCCGGAAGCTTCTGCAGCCCGGATTCCGCGGGAGCGCGCCCAGCCCTGCGCCTAGAGCCCCGCATCCAGGGCGCGTCAACCTGATTCCCCGAGCGCAGGGAGGAAAAGTTTGGGAGTGACGTGCAGATGGCGAATGAAACATCCGAACAGAACCCTCCCCCCGCCCCATGTCGCGCTGACACACATCAGCTCGAGTCTGGAATGTGAGATCAAGGCGTGTGCGCCGAGCGGTGGGTTTGGTCTCCGCCCCCTCCCCTACCAAGTAAACACGGTTTGTGTGATGCGGGGATTCCAAATAAGCAAACCCAAACCCAAAAGTCTGGCAGTGACCCCTGCCAGAGACATTTTTAAGGAACTTGGCGGTCTGGAGACAGCCCATACATTGACATTCAGGGCCATGGCGCTGGTGGGTTCGGCGCCCTCTGTAGTATTTTTGCATCCTGCGAAGGCTGGCCTGGCTTTTTGGCCCTGCGTGTTGGCTTCTTCTTGGGGGAGGTAGGGCTCTGCGGGAGCGGAGTGTCTGCCAGCTGCAATAGCCCTGAGTGGACTGCTCCAGGGAGCCACCTGAGCAGCTCCAGATGAAGGAAGCAGCCCCAGTGACGAGTCCCCCTACTCTAGGCTGAAGATGCCATGAGTTAATGAAATGACACCTGAAATCCTGAAGATTCTCTTAGAAGAGTGCTTGGAACACCAAGACCAGCCTCTCAGGTGCTGAGGTCCCAGGGACAGGAAAGAATCTGCAGCCTGTCCATGCTCCCACATCCATCACCATGGTTCGCAAAGCAACCCCAAAAATGCTTCCTAAACTTTAGGGTGCTGCACATGTATGAAGGGTGATTCCTGACAGTGCCTTTCCCCCTTCTCTTTATTGCTGGAGGCTTCATCTCTACCCCCTCCCCAAAAAGGTATTACCATCCTGAGGCAATCAACTTCTGCTCAGCATCACTGGCAACTAATTCAGAGGTCACGATCAGAGGGGGACCCAAGATGACAGGGGAGTTCTTTAAAACCCATCTTGTTTTCCTGCAAATGTCTCTTACATAAAATCTACGAAGAAAAATTAATGCAGCATCAAGACCAGCCCTCAAATTGCAAACTAGATTGCCTTTTCCATGTAGACTCCATTTGGTGATTTTTGTTCTTTATTATTTCTTTGAAAACAAAAACCTTTTTCTGAAAAAAATACAACGAGCTGTTTTTTGCAGGGTTCACAATTCCCAATAGATGATGATGCCATTTTTCAAGGTCTTACACAGGTTGTGGCTTATTTATTAGCTCCCAAGAAAAGCCTGCCTTTCAGTGAGGTTTATATATGCAAGTAATTGCATTGGGACACAGTGCAAGGTGCTGTTAAAGCAGGTAGTTGTGCAGGCGTCTGCAAGGATGGCCCTGGGCCAGGCAGCTGTCAGACCCTGAGTGTTCAGTCGGTTTAAGCAAACACAGGGAAGGTTCTATGGAAACAGCAAGGAGGAAATCCCCTCCTGTAAGGGTGTGTGGAAGAATATTGCAGGGCCACACATACGAGTCTTTCCTCTCCTCCTTCCAAAACAGCACATGCCCGTTATTGGGATGGCACTGGTCCCACCCCAATGACTTTCAAATTCAGGTGTCAGAAATCACAGCTGATGTGGAACAAATTGTTTATAAGTAAAACTCATGGTGTTGCTTTGATTCGAGTTCCGCCAGGGACTTTTCAAGGGTATTTACACATGTGCCTGAGATTAACTGGAAAGAGATTTTTCCCCTTCAACATTAATTTCAAAAAATTGTTCAAGAATTGCACTTGGGCCTATTATTCTAGAGAGCTCTGAACACATCCAAATGCCAGGCATGTGTGGTAGTAGACGGATGTATAACCATGAGATAGCCGGGGCATTGGGAACTCATTGGTGAAAAACAAAATACCGATAATTTAGGAAAGCAAACATACCCTCCCCAGGTATGCACTCTTAGGCATCCACTGTTGTCGGGTTACATGGCCTGGGTTCCAGTTCTACTTCTGCCACCTACTTAACTGATTAACCATGGGCAAGTCACTTCTTTCTGAGCCTCTCGTGGTAGGGTGAATTATTGATCCCAGCTCTTCATTCTTCCATGGCAGTTACATTAATATGTTTTGTGTTACTATAATAGACTACCTGAGGGTGGGGAACTCTATAAAGAAAAGAGGCTTATTTAGCACACAGTTCTGCAAGTTCAAAAGCCAATATCTGATGAATGTCTTCTTGCCGACAGAGTCTCAAGATGGCTCAGAGCATCACATGGCAAAACCTACAATGTGTGTGTGTGTGTGCCCATCTGTCCATCCATCCATCTGTCTCTCTTTTGGTCTCCTTCTTATAAAGGTACAAGTATCTAGTCATGGAGCCTCCACCCTGATGATGTTATCTAATTTTAATCATCTCCCAGAGCCCCCACTTCTATACACTACAGTCAAATTAAATTTCCACTCTCTTAATGCATCACAATAGGTATTAAATTTCAGCACAGGAACACTTGGGGTTACACACAAGCCCTATCCAAACTGTGGTGCTGATAATATACATCTGTGCCTTGTACTTCATTGACTTTGGACTTGCTTTTGACCATGAGATATCAGGGAACATAACTAGGTGAGAGGTCTGGGATGTGCTTTCAAGGCTGGTCTTGCTCTCTTGTGTTCTGGTAGCCCACCATGAGAAAAATATATTCCAAATACCAGCTACCCCTTCTAGCCAGGATCTAGAATGAATTCCCAGAGACCAGACCTGAATTCAAAACTTGCAGCCTGCAGTCAAATCATCCCACTGCAGCTGTCCTCAGCACCACTTAGTTGGCCTACAGACACATAAGCAAGATTGGAGACACTGCTTCTTGTTGTAGATCATTTTGTTACACAGCATTACTGTGGCAATAGCTGACTGATACATCACCTCAATGGGCAGATATGGAGATTAATAACAAATATTTGAAAAATGCTAAGTATAATTCTTGGGCCATAATAAGAGTTCATTTTGAACTCTTTAATTAGTATTGTTTAATTCATTATTAAATTAAATCATTTAATTACTATTATTAGTAATCATTACTGAAAAATAGTTTTGCATATAATAGTGACATAATAATTAATGAGCTAATTGAATCAGTGAAAAAGTATAACTTGAATAAAGATTTTATAAGAGATGGATGTGAGGTCATCTGTCTGCAATAGCTGTCACCCCTTGGTTGCCAGGGTTAATTCTGGCTGGCAGGACAGTGTCCCCTTCCTTTCCTACCACTTTGTTTGTCCTTTCTGAAGCTGTGCTCTCTGTCACAGAAGATGACCTTCCCTCATAGAGGACCATTCTTCCGTCAAGGATATGCAAATAATGGTGCTCCCTTGAGATCCTCCAATCAAGCTCTCAAGATTTTATAAGAGATGGTGTAAGGACATCAGAAAACCAGACAGTGGGGGACCTGCCACAATCATGCATTTGCTCATTCATTCATTCATCGGACATTCTCTGGACTCCTCCTAGTTACCACACGCTGGGCTGAACGTTAGAGTCACCAAAATGACTAAGACTCAAAGCCCCACCAGGTGACAAGCACTCTGTGAAACATCTTCCCAGACAACATCATTAGATCTTCACAGCAGCCTTCGGAGGTCCTTATTACTTATACCTATTCTTCAGGCCAGTACACTGAGGCTCAGAAACTCAACACTTAGAAAAAGACAAAAGGCCACTCCTGTATCATTAGTGTGCACTGGTGCCAGTGAGTTCAAGTCAATGGTAGGCAAACCCATCAGGAACACACAGTGGGGCAGAGGAAAGGCTTACCTCAGCAGCTCCTGTCACCCACCATGCCTCACGTGTGCTGGGGCTCAGTAAACATGAGACCTGCAAGGTCCAGGTTCTATTTCTGCCACTGAAAAGGGCTACACCTGAGTGTGCAGGGACCCCTGAGGCCATCAAATAGGCTCTCAAATTCATTTTGGCAGCCCTGGCTTCAGATTCTTGCCACCTCTGCCACCAGCAACGACCTAACTCCTACCCTGTGACTTTGACAAATTTAGCTTGCTCGGTAACCTGAAGTGCATTTCAATTTCATAAATTTAGAAATACTCTGGTTAGGCGGATCCCTCCCTCAGTAATGCATCCATTAAGTGCACTTTAAGCCAATTTTGGTATGCTAATCCATCACAAATCGACGTGAAATTTGGGTTCTTGTGAAAATTTCCTACTCCCGATCCAAAACCTCTACAGGATTTAGGATAATAAGTACCAGTTCCTTAAAGTGGCAGATGACTACATGGAACTTTCAGGGAAGAAAGGACAATGTCCATACTTGTAGACTTACATGAGAGCTGTCTACTCTAACGGGGTGCCCTGGAAGGGTGGCTTGCTTTCTCCAAAAATGCTACCACAGCTTTATGGCTTCAGATCTCTTTCTGAGGAATGAAGTCACATATGTGCCTGCAATTCCAGCTCCTAGCTCAGAGCCTGGCACCGCAGGCATGCCTAGTAGGCGTTTGGCAATTGTCCCAGTTGGGATGGCCTGGCTTGATTTGGGACTTGTTCATCAGACTTAGCTTCCTATGATTGTCTCTGGTTCCCAAATCAAGTGTTCTCCCTACCAATGAAGATTGAGGATGTTTAATGCACAGGCTGAACCTCTAAAGGAAAATCAGATGAGGTCCCATAGCAATTTTAGTGACAATACACCTTAAGAATGGTGTACCTGCTCATCCCACTGTCTCAGAGGCCAAGAAGGAACTCAGTAATTGGCAATATAAAGAACCCACCAGTGATGAAAACAACATAATGTCATTGTCATCACCGCCAAGGACTCTGTTGCTACCAATTGTTGAAGGGTAGTGCCTATTAACTAGATAGTTTTTGCTGTATAATAGACACTTTGCCAATAAGCTGAAGTTTACAACCTGGAGCGTTTCACTTACTTGCTTCTGTCGTAAGATCTACAACCCACCCAACAACAAAAATGAGCTGTTGACTTGGTAAATTTAGAGCAGCATCGCCTGCCCTAGATGTGAAATACCTATGCCTTCTAAATAAATTTCATTCTCCGTGGAGGGTTTAATGCAGTCAAATGTTACAAAGTGGTGCTTAGGAGGATAACAGGAATAACGCCCACAGGCAGATGCTCACAGCACTGGCTGTGATATGTACTCCTCCTTCCCAGCTCTGCTGCTGGGCCAACCCCCATCACCCCTAGCTATGTGACAGACCCACAAGCACCTGCCCGGGTGCCTGCAGGAGTGCCACCCTTAGCTCTTGGCACCCATTTATTCCAGCCATGTTAGCCACCATCCTGGTCCCAAGTCTGGCAGATTCCTGGGTCCCAATCCCAGAGATGCCATCTCAGACTATCTAGGGCAGTGCTGGGAATCTGCATTTCACAACCTCAGTGCCCACTGAAGTTTGAGAACTGCTGGTTTGGACCATATCCTGTCTCTCTCTCTCTCTCTCTCGGTTGTTTTGCATTAACCTTCTCCAGCTACTCCTCTGCCTCCTCCGTTGACCCCCATGACTGGTTCTTCCAAGTACATACAGAATCTTCCCCAAACACAATCTAGTTCTGTCAGCCCCCTGGTTAAAACCTTTGGTACCCATCTGCAGCAACTCTGCTGCACCTACAAGGTGAGTCCCCACAACTGTGGTTCTGCCTCTTCTCTGGGCCCATCTGCCTACCCCGCCTCTCCCATCAGCACCATCCATGCTGCTTCCCAAGGTGCCTCAGGGACAGCAGACATGGTGGTTCTGAAAGGAGGAGTCTGTGCCACCAAATACTGGTGTCCATTTCCAGGGACCATCTTGGATGAGAGTTAGGGACAGAAAGTTGGCCAATTAGAAGTTGCTTTGATAATTAACATGCAGCATGGGTGTAGCTGTGGCTGCCGGTAGGGTGCTGATAGGGGTAGGGAAGGGGTACCTAGAAAGGCCCACCATCAGAGCCTTTCTAGATGCACTTGGGTGCTCTGGAAATGGCTGCAAGGCCCCAGGCTTGGGTTTGAAACTCATGTGCTGTGACCCTTCTGTGTGTATCTCACATCTCTCCTTACAGCATGAAAGGTGGCACTGGACAGTCCCTTGGGACTGTCCTCGCTCCAATGTGTCACCTGAGTCTGTTACCCAT